TCTGCAACCACTGCCGACTCCGTCGGAGTGTTGGGAGTCCGTTTCGACGGACTTCGTGTTTGGTCTTCCGTGCGATTCCAGGCGGAAGACTGGTTTTGTGGTCTTTGTGGCCCCTTCAGCAAGATGGTGCATCTCGCTGCTGTCGCAGCGGAGGTGACCTCCGTACAGACGGCACGTCTGTTCGGAGACATGGTGTTCAAGCACCATGGCATGCCCACCGACTTTGTGTCGGACCGGGGCACAGACACCGAGAAGATTCACGCACAGGCTGGGCCTGATGCGACTACAAGTGGCGAGTCTGTGCAGGGCACAGACGCGGACAAGACCAATGAGCTGGACCCGAGGTTCAGCTCTCAAGCAATGGACTTTGTCCACGAACGACAAGCAGTCGTTCGCTTTGTACAAGACGCAATTGCAGCTTCTGCGGATGGGCAGAAGCTGAACGCAGACAATAACGGAAGAGGTAATACGAATGAATTCAAAATTGGTTCATTGGTTTTGTTATCAACTCAAAACTTGCCTACTCATGCAACTTCTGGATTCGGAACAAGCAAGCTTGCTCCGCACTTCATTGGGTGGGCCCTTCACGGTGACAGAACGTCACGGCAGTGCGTACACATTGGAACTTCCTTCCGACATGAGACTTCACCCAACATTCTACGTTGGGCGATTGAAGCCATACGTGCAGCCCGAGTCATCTAGTCATGATGACTCGCCGACGACGACGCGCGGAGCGCCCTCAACTTCTCCTCAAGCCGCTTCACCTTCTCCTGGAGAAGGCGAACTTGTTCAAACACCTCAATACGGATGTTTGAGGCGGTCTGAGCGACATCGGCCACGCAGGCCTTCTGCAAGAGCAGCAGTTGTCTCCACTCAGCGAACTCAGCAGCCTGAACCGTCGAAAGAGCCTCCACGCAGGCGTGGAGCACCAGAGGACTGTGGTCAACCCGGGGTTGACCATGTGATGAGCGTCCATCACCGCCGACAGAAGCATAACTCTGTCCGCGGTACGATCCACC